ATATGGTTACTGGGCTACCAAGTCTTCGGGTCTGCAGAATCCTGTCAAGCCTAAACACTTAACTCAACTTCTCACTGGTGATTAGGGTTTAGGGTTTAGGGTAGCGCATGGAGGAATGGATCCCTGCGGTGGCCCATGTGAAATCCTCAGGACCATCGCAGTTCCGAATTAATTTCGTCGTCCTCCTTCCTTCCCTTCTAAGCAGAGATGCAACCTTTATGTAAGCCACACTTTCCATGTCAATTTTCAATTTTCATTACCCTCCGTTTTTGTGTAGTATCCCTAAGTGTAGCTTCTATTTCTTCACCATTGCTTATCCCAATAAAGCCCTAATCCCTGAACCTTAAACCCAAAACAGTAGTTTCCATTTTCTCTTCCATTCTCCGAATAGAACCCCCAAAAATGTAAACCCTCGGTTGAGATCTAGGAAATCGAAATCCAACGCACTGAGCTATGCATGCGCTCTGTTGTGAGGTTTCAGTGCAGCAGAAGCCTACTCTGATTTCGGCGAAGATCATTCCGTCCTCCATGTGGAGACCCCAAGAGGCGCGACTCTTGTTGCGGCAGTTTGGGTTTAGGGTTGTAGGGTTGTAGGGTTTAGGCTTTCAGGTTTTAGGGCGTCGGGTTTGAGAGTGCAGGGTGTATTTTTTTAGGTGCACGGGTGTATGTAGGGCTGAGACATTCAGAGGGTTCTTCAGGTGTCTGACCCTTCTAAACCCTAAACCCCAGTGTGGCCCGTTGGTGTGGCGAAGTCGGCGCTTACCTCCCTTCAAGTGATCGCTCACCTAATATGACCCCCTCATCATGGCTCAAACAACAACCCCCCGCAATATAGCGCCATGATATGCATTAGGGAATAGATTTAGGGTTTGCTAGGTTTCCTACGCCACAGACCAGAAAGCTTCAACGCCAAACTCCAAAGCCCAAGCCAAGCCTCAAGCTTCACCTTACACCCTAAGCCGAAAGCCCAAGCCCTGAATTCCGCTAAAGAAAAACCTAAACCCTCAACCTTTAAGCAAAACTGGACCCTCCGAAGTAGTTCCGTTTCCGGATTTTGTAGGGTTGCGGGTTGCAGTTCTGCTTAGGACCCCCATATACTCCATCGGAGGGTCCAGGCGGGTTCAGGTAGGCCCCAAACTTTCCCAACTCTAAACCCTAAACCCTGAGCCCCCAAACCCGCCTAAGCCCTACAGCCCTGAACCCTTAAACCCTAACCCGCGAAACCCTAAATCCTAAACCCCTAAACCCTAAACCTCTAATCCTTAAACTCTTAAACTAAACCCAAATCCGCGATGCAGGAACATTCGAGGTGGTCCTATTCTTTGATCCGCAGGCAGAGCCCTGAGGCGGCCATGTGGTTTGGGGACGAAGGCGGAGGATTTTTGGGTTTTAGGGTTTGGGCTTGGGCTTTAGGGTTGAGGGTTTAGGGCTTTGGGGTTTAGGGTTTAGGGTGCAGGGTTGGACTTTAGGGTTTAGGGTTTGGGGATAGAGAGTTTAGCGCTTAGGATAGAGGAGTTGAGAGCAGAGAGTGGGTTTAAGATAGAGGGTATATTTAAGGAAGAATCTAATGAGGAGTTACCAGGTGAGTACCCTGACATACGGCTTACATAAGGCTTACATAGGGAGCTTATGTAAGGCTTACATGGGGGAAACTACCCACCTGATATTTCCTTAGAAGGGTTTAGGGTTGAGGGTTTAGGGGTTCAGGGTTTAGGGATTTAGGGTCCGGCAGAGGATGGGCTAAGGGTTTTAGTAAGGGGCCTACTGTTCTGGTTCCGGGTTTCAGATTGGAGGTCGTGTGGAGGAAGTGGTGTAGGGCTCAAAGCTATGGTTCCGCGGTATAGGGGGTGACTCAGATTTTGTAAGAAGCGCAGGGTGAAAGCCATAGATTACAGGCTGTGGTAAGCCTTAGACCCTAGACCCTAGATCTTAAAATCCTAAACCCTAAGCCCTAAACCCTAAACCCTAAGTGTTTTTTTGGGTTGTAGAAGCTAAGTCTAGAGGCTGGGCTGCAGGCGTAGAGGTTTGGCTTCGGGCTTCGTGTTTATGATGATGGTTTAGGGTTCAGGGTTTGGGGTTAAGGGTTAAGGGTTTAGGGTTTACGGGTGTAGGGTTTAGGGATCTTCAGGTTTAAGTTTTCGATTCGAGGTTGTGCCTAGGTGCAGGGTGTGCTTTTTCCCGCAGGTTTTTTTGTTGTTGCCTAGATTGAAAGATTTATGGCTCCGGGTTTAGAAGGAACTGCGAAGTTTTTTTCTGTGGGGTGCACGCTCCGGACAGGCGTTTGGCATGGCTTTCTTGTCTCTGACCACTGACATCTGTGTAAGTCGACAGACATTATGTGCGGAGATGTGAGGGCGCGGAGCTTCTGTAGGCTTGGAGCAGATCCTTCTGTAATCTCATGAACGCTCAGCAAGGCGGCCACAAGTGCAAATGAAAGCAATGCGCTGCACTCCGATGGGACCCGCGACCTGCCCTCAACAGCAATTGTAAAAATGATAAAGGTATAACCCCCCATATATAGTAGCAGTTTCCATTTTCTTTTCCATTATTTTTGTAAATCTCCGTATAAGCCCCCATATATTCCCGAGTCGGAAGCTCTTCCCAATGTTCGGCGAGGGGTGCAAATGCTTAGGCCAAAGCCCAAGGTTCCAGGCAGGTTAGACATAAAGAAAGTTATGCAGCAGTTTGCGGCAACCTCTAACCTCCAACCTCCAATGAAAGCTGCACCCCGAAGCCACACGCCTTGAACTACCCTCAACCCTAAACCCTAAACCCCCAAAAGAAAGGGAGTTGCAAGCAAGGAGCCTTTTGTGCAACTGTTCCCTGAATGCAGGGGGCGCACAACATCCCAACCATCGTGCAGGAGAGCACCAGAGACTTGCTAATGCTTGAGGGAGGGTGGGAGTGACTCTCTGTGATATGGTGGTTTCCCAAAATTGAGGGTTCCTTTTGGGGTTCCCAGTATGAGGGTTCCAGTATTTTGGGGTCGAAATTGGGTTCATCTATTTAGGGAAATTACCATATGGCATAGTCTCTATATGCGTGCTACCACAAGAGGGATCCTGTACACACTCCACAGCATTGAAATCCTCATACTAAGGACTCAAAAAGGGATCCCCATTTTCTGGAAATACCCTAAACCCTAAACCCTACATAAACCCTAAGCCTAAACCCTGGAAACCTCCTCAGGGTAAGTCTCCCACTTCCCGTTTGGCAACAGCAGCGAAGCGATAATCATTGCATGATCGGCTGAGCCTTCGGACGCTTCAGGAAGTGATGGAGTGGCAGGTTTTTTGAATTTAGGGTTTGGGGTTTAGAGTTTAGGGGTTTAGGAGCATATTGACAAATTTTTCGATGATTTCCCTCTTCAGTATGGTCATGGTCATTACTACTGCGATCACTATCTTCATCTAATGCGGTTACTGTAAGTGCCAGCAATTGCATTATTGTGACAACATTGGATGTTCTTTTCCATGCCACTGTTATGCCTGCGCCCCTGTCGCCCCTGCTTAAAACCAGGAGCATTAGGATACATCTCTGCATTGTGGCACTTACGTGCTAAATGTGCTTGTGGTGTGTGTGTGTGTGTGAGAGAATGACAGTCTTCTGCTACCTCAGCAAGCCCAGTGCCCAGTGCAGAACTCCAAGGTTGTGATTTAGTTTGCAGGGTTCCTGTTCTCGTGGACGCGCAACTTTTGAAGAGACTCCCGGAGAGATCATAGCACCTGAATGATTGTGGATATTATCTGTTAATCGCCCTTGTTACGTCAGAACAGACTTTAATCCCAAACCCGTGATCCGTGGTTCATCCTGACTCGGCTGGCTGGCTAGCGCGTAGAATCTGAAGCTGTCGTTTCCAAACGGGGGGAGGTATATGGTAATTGCCCAAAATTAGGGGACCCCCATATAGACCCCAAAATACTATAGTCCTTATTATAGGGACCCCCAAAAAGGTACCCCTAATCTAAGGAAACCCCCATATCCTCAGAGTTTAGGGTTAAGGGTATTTATGTGAATTGCCCACCCCCCGGGAGGAGACTACAACTCCACATGAGCTATAGTCTAAACTCCTTAAAGGGGGTTATATAGGGGATTATATAGGGGACTACTATAGGGGTTTTTAAGGGGGATACTAGGAGTTTAGACTATAGCACACATGCATCCTTCCCTAGATGCATTTTGGGCTTATGGTTTGGAAGCGATCAGGATCTTGGAGGTCCAGGGGAATTCCTTCTTATTAGCTTGCAGCAGAGTCCCTTATAGCTCAAACACTCATCAGCTGAATCTAGGTACCTGTGCTCAGGGGACTTGTGCTACGTCCAGTTAGACAACTCCGGACATCCAAGTGTGGGTTTCACAACGCCACGTGCAGTCGCAGACGCAAAATTGCACGTGGGACGTTCTTTTTACCCTCAGCCTCTTAAGTATTACCCGCGTTAGTGAGAACCAATCCACCCAAATGGGGCATCCTGTTTTGGGGTTTCAAAGATTTGCGGCAGCCCTTTACTTCCTCAAGCTACAAGATGCAGGGTGCACTAAGTGCAGTATTGCATGGCTTTGCGCAAGATGAGCCACACATAGTTGCCTCAACTTTCTGTTAAATTTCGGGTAGGAGTAGGGAAGAAGGAGCGGGTGTTGGCGGAGTGGTCTCATTTGAAGGCGTTGCTATAGTGATGCCAAGTCCTGCCAGCATCGAACCCTCGCCTATGTCTATGCAGCTCATTGGCAGCCAGTCTGCGTCTTCACCTTCCTTATCGCGAATAAATCTGGCGACCACTTAGCACCAAAGGCGAACTCAGCAGCGATCGATGTCTGCAATGGGTCGTCTGTGCTGTCTTCAGAATATCCAGAGGGTGGATGGTACAGGGATCATATAAACACAAGAATTTCTACCAAACCCCATATGGTAGTTTCCTAGACTAGGATCCCCCTTACATACCCCAATATACTATAGGCTTTACTGTGGGTATCTGTGGGTCCCCCTAGATAATGGGTACCATTTCAGGGTCCCCGTGGTAAGGATTATAGTACATTGGGGTATTTACGGGGGACCCTAATTTTGGAAACTACCATATGGGGTTTGGTGGTAATTCTTGTGTTTAACGTTTAGGTTCATGGAACCCGCATTTGTAAACATGCCAGAATCTCGTTTCCTACCCCAATGGCTATAAGGAAAATGGGTCCAATTTTCGCCTAACCCAAAACCCCACAAGATGTCGCATGTCAGATTCCATCTTGTTTTCAGGTAATACATGCCAAAGACGTTGGAAACTGCTTGATGAAGTATAGCTTGGCACTTAGAACTCAAGCCACTATGACCATGTTGAGTTCACTATGGCCATGCAATGTCCTACAGCCCCTTATAATTACTATTGCAGGTGACGCTACTGTTTTGTCATGTGCCTACGTAACCCTAAGGCCTAGATCCTCATCTCATCCCAGTTTGCAATCCATGTTCCATGTCCTTCTCCATTTCATTCTGCTCTCTTCTAGTAGGTGGGACCACTATCATCCCCGTAAATCCGAAACCTAGAAGCCTAAGCCCAAAGATACCAGACCCAACCTATACTCGGGATCATAGTAATCTCTAAGCGCTGGAAATTGACAGGGGCTGAAGCCGCCGGAATGGAATTGCGGCTGCAATTCAGACAGGATTTTTTTTTGGGTGACTTTTTGGGTGTGGGCGCGGATGTGCAGCAAGGTTTGCAGGGCTGGGAGCAGTGGCTTTTAGTATGGGGTCAGGGTCGAAGGCTACATTGCAGCCCCTGAAACTTCATACGAGTCCAGTTCTTCTTCAGGGCCCGAAACCCAAATCCTAAACTCCGAACTCTCGACCCCAAAGCCCTCATTCCCGACTCTAGGCCTTGAATCCTAAACCACAACCCGAAATCCTAAACCCTAAATCCTAAACCCCTAAACCCTTGGGCCGCAAAGTGCAGAGGTACCGCCTCAAGGGCAGCCTGGATCCACAGACCCAAGGCGCAAGCGGAGACTCAACACGCAGCTTCAGGGTATTGATATAGGGTTCCTAGGGTTCAGTGTTTCGTTTTTTTTGGGTACTGAGTTCCATGAACGTTGAAGTGAAGCTGCTTCTCCAGAGTTCGCGCGAGAGAGCTATTGACGCTTTTCGTCACGCATTCTGATGGCGGACATCTTGTGGCCCCCGTAAGTACACAATTCTTGAAGTAAAGTAGTTTGGGGGCCCTAAACACTAAGCCCTACGATGAGCCCGGCTAGAACATTGAGAGCTCAAAGGTCAAGAGTTCGGGCCTTTGATTGGCTCTGAAGCCTGTGCAAGGTTCGATCTTTCCGGAGGAGCTCCTCGGAAAGTATGGCAAAGGCTGG